GGCCAAAGCTCTGAGAGCTCCTGCCTTTGCTGTGGAGTGAGTTCCCCAGGGTGCTCTCCTCTCACCCCTGTTGTTGAACATCTACGTCCAGCCACTTCTTGGACTGGTGCGGAACTTTGGCCTAGAGTGCTACCAGTATGCAGATGATACTCAGCTACTCTTGCGTCTCGAACCTGGAACAACTGCGATTCCTGAGAACTTTAAGCTGTGTTTGGAAGCAGTGATGAGTTGGCTACGAGCAAGCAGACTAAAAGTCAATCCTGCAAAAACTGAGATCCTCTGGCCTGGCCAGACACCAGAATTAACCCAGTCTCTGCCTGATTTTGATGGGGAAGCTGTGGTTCCGTCTGCCACTGTTAAAAGCCTTGGGGTTGTGTTGGACTCATCGCTGACGATGGAGGCCCAGATCACTGCCATAAGGAAGCAGGCCTTTTTTCATCTTCGCCAGGCAAGGAAACTGGCATCCTACCTTTCGGTAGAAACATTGGCAACGGTAATCCACGCAACAGTCACCACGAGGTTGGACTATTGCAACGCCTTATATGCCAGACTTCCGAAGTCAATGACCCAGAAGATTCGGATGGTCCAAAATGCGGCAGCCAGGCTGCTAGTGGGATCATCTAGAAGATCCCATATCACACCGATTCTGCAACAACTGCATTGGCTACCAATAGAACATCGGATCTCTTACAAGATACTGATCCTGACATTTAGAGCTCCAAATGGCCAAGGACCTTTCTATCTTAGGGACCGCCTCATTCCTTTTCCCCATCAGTGGTCACCTCGATCCCCCCAGGAAAATCTCCTCTAGGGAGGCACATTTGGAAGCTACAAGGCATAGAGCTTTTTCGACCTATGCTCCAATTCTGTGGAACTCATTGCCTCCATATATTAGAGCAGTGGTTCTCAACCTTCCTACTGCCGCGACCCCTTAATACAGTTCCCCATGTTGTGATGACCCAAACCATAACTTTATTTTTGTTGCTTCTTCCTAACTGTGATTTTGCTACTGTTATGAATCGTCATGTAAATATCAGATATGCAGGATGTATTTTCATTCATTGGGCCAAATTTGGCACAAATACCCAATACGGCCAAATCTGAATACTGGTGGGGTTGGTGGGAGCATTGATTTTGTCATTTGGGAGTTGCAGTTGCTGGGATTTATAGTTCATCTACAATCAAAAAGCATTCTGAACTTCACCAACAATGAAATTGAACCAAACTTGGCCCACTGAACTCCCATGACCAAGAGAAAATACTGGAAGCGTTTGTTGGGCATTGACCTTGAGTTTTGGAGTTGTAGTTCACCTACATCCAGATAGCACTGTGGACTCAAGCAATTATAGTTCTGGATCAAACTTGCCATGAATACCCAACATGCCCAAATGTGAATACTGGAGGAGGTTAGAGGAAATAGACCTTGACATGGAGTTGTAGATGCTGGGATTTATAGTTCACCTACAAAGAGCATTCTGAACTCCAACAATGAGAGTATTGGGCTAAACTTCTTACACAGATCCCCCATGACCAATAAAAATACTGTGTTTTCTGATGGTCTTTGGCGACCCCTCTGATACCCCCTTGCGACCCCCCCAGGGGTCCCGACCCCCAGGTTGAGAAACACTGCATTAGAGCAATCTCGGAGTTGCGACCTTTTGTAAAG